CAGCCCTGAGCTAACATCCGATGCCAATCCTCCTCTTTTTTACTGAGGAAGATTGGCCCTGGGCTAACATCCATGCCCATCTTCCTCTACTTTATATGGGATGCCGCCACAGCATGGCTTGACAGCGGTGCATCGATGTGCGCCCGGGATCCGAACCTGTGAAACCCCACACCACCGCAGCGGAGTGTGCACACTTAACCGCTATACCACCGGGCCAGCCCTGTACATTAGCCAGTTTTGAATCTAATTTAGTTATCTTATTTTGGCACTCTTTTCCCAACAGACTGGATAAATCCCTGTTCTTCAAATGCTCTTTGAACAAGCATTCTTGTGTATCTGCTGATTCTTTCATTAATTGGTTGAATAAAACTTTGACATGTACTAACAAATTACTTTGTCTGAGACTTGTGCTTTTATGGACATCACCTACTTAAGCAATTTTCCGTGAACCCCTCTCCCTCCAACCTCCCACCCGTCCTCTGTGCTCCCACAGCACCCTGTACTTTTCCTATCAAAGCGCTATTCACACTGCATAGGAATTGGCTATTGATTTATCTTCCTCCCTTACCAGACTGTGAAGACCTTGGCACAGATCTTGCCTTGCTTGATTGTCAATCCCCAGGGCCAAGTACAGTGTCTCCCACACCCTAAATGATCAATCAATGTTTGTAGAACAAATGATTGCTCTGTAATTATTACAAGTTGACAACAAACAACTAAAATGAATAAATGAAGCAAGAAACTTTGGTCTCTATAACTCACGGGGAACTATCACAATAGACATAATAGCCACGGAAAAAAATTAAAGAGAGAAAATACAGCTGGTCCTCACTTTCAGAAAGGCCAATACATGAAATTCAAATTTAAGACACAAGAGTACACATTCATTTTCCTAAAGCTTCTTTGTTTCATGAAGTAATTCACTCAAGTTCCCTGAAACAATAGGAACTCCTCCTGTATTTAAGTTCCACTTAATAACTATCTGACCGGGTTAGTTTTAGAATCTGTTGACAAATGAAGATCAGAAGTGAAAATGTGAGTCAATGAGAAAATTATTTGATTTATGCACGTGTGTGCTCTAGAGCACTTTCCAGGAACATATTTATTATGTAAAGTGAACCAGGAGTACCCAAGATGGTGAAGAAGTTTAGCTTACAGGTTAATAGCTCTCTGACCTCTAAAGGCCTTTGGAGGGAAGAATGAACGATGTTTCTGTGCTTCATTTTAGCACCTATAAGAATGCTTGCCATCTTACTCTCTCCCCGACCAAGCCCTCCCTCCCCCTCTAAAACAAAGTATCCTCTCATCCTTCCTCGAAAGAGGACACTGTTGATAATGCTAACATTTAACTAAGATACATGAATCCGAATTTTAATGAAAATTCATTTGCCACTTTAATTTTAGCATGCGTCTCAGTTAAGCCATTGAGTGTGTTCTCCAAATGCGGTAGGTAAGTGGAAGTTTTGTTAACTGAACTATGGTTTAAAAACATCCTAAGGAAGCTTTCTGACTAACCATAAAAGCAAACCACTTATTTCATACCTCAGCAACTTTAATGCTTCACCAAGGCAGAGAATGCATGTTGGACATATATTTCTTACTTTAAGAAAAATTTCAAAGTCTATTTGGGCCAGTAGGCAGAGTCAGAATTTCCCTGAACATATCCCACAGGGAACAGGGAGATGAGTCTCCTGAAATATTCCTAATGACTTCATCTTTTAACATACTAGCTCTAAAATGATTGGGAGTATGACTGCATGAAAGATCCCTCTGGTTGATTTCTTCTATTACCCATAACGTTCTTTCTTCAAAGGTTAGCCTATTCTTGTTCCTAGAACATTAGACATCTACATTTTATGCCTATCAACAAAACTGAACAATGAAAGAGACCCTGGAAAAATTTTCTCTACAAATTGCCTCAATGAGTGTTATTTTAATTATAAAGAGAAAAAAATGTACTTGAAAAAATTTGAACTCCAATATACTTTTTAAAAGTTGCTCTAAAATGATATCCTTCCCAAAATAATGGCCACTACCACCAAAATCAAAGTGACCAGAGAGAGAATTTTCTTTATCCAACTCATCTTCTGTCAAAATAATTATATCAACCTTGAAAAGAAAAACCTTTTCTGCTATTTGTCTAGAGTTATAGAAAAAGAGTGGCACCCACTTTATATACAGACCAATCTGGAAATCCATTTATCCAGGCTCCCTGGTGAAAAAAGCGTGGTTGAATTAGCTTACCAGTCATCTCCAATTTATCAATGGGTTGTGTTCCAAAATTTATTTGTAAGTCAACTGTTTGAAACTCAGAACATATTTTCCCATAAGAACAAAGGATGGTTAGGGTCTCAGACCAGCTCACAAAAGCCTATAGATTATAAATCTACCTCAACCATGAAACTACTGGTACCAGTCTGCAGGCTGGGTCCTGAGAGCAATAAGCTACAGTACAGGAGAGAAGAGGCAAAGGATCTCCTTCCCCCTTCCTGTTGCAGAGCAATTTAGAGAAAAATTTCCCAAAAGGCCAAGCTTAGGTACGTACCCTCTGTTCTCCTAATAATCCTCTCCCAATGTGTACAACCTCTCTCGAACCCCTCAAGGCTAACATAACCCCTAGTTTCATGTGTGTTGAGGGAGAGGACAGTAAGTTGATCAGCAGATATTAGGGACTCAACTGTGATGTCTCATATATGAGATATGGACATCAACTCTAGACAAATTGGGATACAGAGCAAGGACTCTTTTCATGGAACTTGGGTGCATAGGTGGGGTTAGCCATAAGGAGCAAGAGAAAAATTCACCAAAACCTACACCCAGGGTTAGAGCAGGACCAGCAGCAAAGCTAATGCACAAGCTGTTGAAATGCTTGTCTAGCACTTTTCATACTCCTCTAGCCCAGGGCCAGGATTGGGCCCAGGGGCTAAGTTGGGGGCTCAGTTTAGAGGAGGTTAATGGTCCAAGTGAGATGAACTGAAGAACACTGAGGGCAGGGAGACAAGCAGGTGATAATGATCTGTTGATGTGATTAAAAACATTCTATATATTTGGAGGAAATGACAAATAGGTCAAATATTTATTGAATACCTACACTGTGCCAGGCACTGTTAGGTGCTGGCGTTAAACAGTCCCTGTACTCGTGGAGCTTCTATTCTAGATCCGTGTTGAAGAGTCCACAGGGACCAAACAAATCCTCGATGATGAGGCAAAAGAGGGAAAAGCACAACTGCTCCCAACCCACTACCACTTCGACTTCCAAACCAGCCACCTCATGTTTTGGAAGTGAGTAAAATGTAAAGTATGACCCAGTCAACTATTGCAAGAGTTAAACATTGAAATATCAATTGTAACATGTTGAATTGTGACAGTGAAACTGGAGGAAACCAGTAAATAAAAACTCAGAAGCTTAACTTCACAAATAAGCCCAAGGTAACATTACCAAGTGGGCCAGGTCCTTTCTGGCAACTTCCCTACCTCTCCTTTCACCTTCAAGTAGCCATCTGAGCTGCCCACTGCGGCTCTCTCCCAGGATCAGGTTGTGTCCCTTTCTCTGACTTTTGCCTAGGCAAAACCTCTCAGTGCTTTCCTAGGGAATATGGGAGCAGGATGGGGTATCATAAGAAATCATCTATGCTTCAGCGCTAGTGAGAGAATTGATCGCCCCCTCCCATAATGCTTTAGTTTAATGGATATGCACATCTCCAGAAGTCCCTGTAAAGTGCTTAATTGTGAGAATTTCACACACCACAGCTAGCCAGTAGGGGACGTATTTTGGAACCTGGGTCTTTCAGCACCCACTCAAACTACACCTGCACACAACTACCTACCTCGCCTATGTAGGTACATAACATGTCTAGAACCAAAACCTTTGGAGAGTTAACATCCCAAGGAGTTCTCCATCCTCTGATTAAAAAAAAAATTATTGAGCTCTATATAAATATGTGCCAAGCACCATTGTATAAATTATCTCATTTAATCCTTAGGACTACCTTATGAAATGGTTTTTATTATTAGACTTATTTTACCAATGAGGAAACTGAGGCGCAATCTATCTAAAAGAAGGCAGGAAAAGAGGAAAAAAGGAAGAGATGACAGGACAAATAGCAAAATAGACTTAAACCCAACCATATCAATAATGACATTAAATGTATCGTCTAAACACCCCAATTAAAAAGCAGAGATTGTTGAATTGGATTAAGAAGCAAGAAACCCATTTTCAATATAAAGGAAAAGGATGGAAAAAATATACTATGCGAAAACAATCAAAGGAAAGCTGGAGAAGCTATGTTCATATTAAAGTAGATTTTAGAGTGAGGAATATTACTAGGGATAAAGAAGTATATTTCATTTTGATAAAGGAGTCAATTCAGCAAGAATATATAATCCTAAATGGGCATGCACCTAATCACAAAGTTTTGAAATACACAAAGCAAAACTGACAAAACTAAAAGAAGAAATAAGACAAATCCACAATTATATTTGTAAATTTCAGTATACCTCTCAGTAACTGACACACCAAGCAGACAGAAAATCAGCAAGGATACAGAAGATTTGGAAAACCACAACCAACCTGACATAACTGGCATTTATAGAACACTACATCCAACAAGAACAGAATACACATTCTTTTCAAGTGCATGTGGAATATTCACCATGGTAGACCAGCTGCTGTGCCATAAAACAAGTCTCAGTAAATTTAAGAGGATTTAAATAATTCAAAGTATGTTCTTTGACCATGACAGAACTAAACTAGATATCAGTAACAGAAGGATATCTGGAAAATCTGCAAATATTTGGAAATTAAGCAACACACTTCTAAATAACATATGGGTCAAAGAATAAGTCACAAGAGAAGTTGGAAAATATTTTGAGCCAAATGAAAATGACAATATCACACATCAAAGTTGTGGGATGCAGCTACAGCAGTGGTTAGAGAGAAATTTAAAGCATTAAATTATTAAACATCTACGCAACACCCCACTCACCAACATCAGGATATTATGCAAGGAAAAGTAAGGAATGGAGGAGAAAACCCAGCCCTGAATGCAACTCTGATCATGGAAAAATGTACCACTGCAGATAAAAAGCTAAAGGAGAAGGTATAAGTGGTATCAAAAGTAGCTCTGAACTCCAAAACTCCAGGTTTTGCTCACCTTGACAGTAGATGCTTGCTGACAGTACACATCTAGGATAACAAGAGGTTAGATCCCAGAAGGTCAGTGAAGGTAGGCTGGAGAAGGCAGGGAGTCTGAGTGAACGAGAGCAGCATGGGCTAGCAGTTGATGATCTCTGTTCCCAGGACAGAGGCTGTTGCTCTTGCTTTTGAAATATTTCTTGCTTAAGGATGGGTTGTCCCTGGGGCCTAATATACTTATACTCCCAGAAATTAGAAGCCTCTGGATGGGTTCTGTCCCTAATTGAGGTAAGAACCGAGATGCTAGGATTGCAGAGTGGTTGAACTCTGCAATTCCCAGATATCATCCCTACATTAGAATCACCTGAGGAACTATTTTAAAAACTACTCCAGTCCCCCACCCCAAGAGAATCAGATTCAGAAATTTGAAGTTGGGTAGTCTAAAGTTTCCCAACTACTTCTGATTCTGATGATTCCCAGCTTGCAAACTACTGGTATAAATATTACCACTATTAACAATTGCTAACAATTCTGCATGTACTAGGTCCTCTTTAAGTGCTTTTTAAGTATTGTTAGATTTAATTAACAGGGCATTGTGAAGACCAGGTGAGGAAGTACAAGTGGAGCTCATCCCCACTCAGAGGAAACGGACAAGGAAAGCCATCTTGACATAGAGGTAATAACTTTTCAATTACATGTAAAGATATGAACACTGATTAAGGCAAAAAAAAAGATTGGTGATGTCAGGCTTAGTCATGAAAATATACCGAAAAAGGAAAAAGTCTTGAGGCAGCATGGAACAGTATCCAAAGTAGGGAGCATTTGCCTCTCAAATATGATCCAATCCTGGGCTAGTATAACAGGTTGGCTTCCAGGATTCTGCACCATACCAGAATGAGTCTGAATTCCAAGGTCAACATTCTCTCCTCCAGAGCCAACTTAGGGTTAAACCAGACCCATAAAGACCTCCACCCTCTAGGTCTGAGTAGAAATAGATTGGCGTCCTGAACATCTAAATCCTCCGTGAAGTCTTCCCAGATCAGATCCTGTTGAGAACAAGACTTCCCAAATTACACCTAGTTTGATGTTATTCTTAGCCCGGGTACTCACCATCATCTTAAAATGTAACTGGTCCCCAGATACATATGGTATGAATACCTCACTCATTTGACGTTTCATTTCCTGCTTGTATCTTGTAAGCATGATCTTTTGTATTATTGATGTCTAGGATCAATTATCCTGGAAAGCACAAAAAGTGTCTGCATAATAGTACCTAGCAGTGGCATATCCAACTACAATTCATGAATGTTCTTTGATAATGATATATGTAACCCTAGGAGACAAGTACCACTACATACTGCATGAAACTAGGACCATGAAATCCTTGAATATAGTACAATAATATCATTCTGGTTAAAGTTTGGGGGGGACGGGGTAATAGTAGCTCTTTGTCAGTTTGATACTCAAGTTCAATGACATCTAGCTATCATCAGACAAAAACCAGAGATGAGACTAAGCTAGAGGTTAAGTACCAGGTCATTCTCTAGCTCCTATCCCTGAAATAAAGGCTACGTCTGACTTGCAATGATACATTTCTCAAGTTTATGTGCTCCATGCTCAATCAAATGCTTCTCCTTTCCTTCTACCTCCATTAAACAACACATCAAAGGAAATTAAGCTTTGTTAGCCTAACCCATGTAGATTCTACATAATGATCATTAGAGCTTAAAACAGTACCTAAGAATCAGAAACAAAAAGCAATTATTCTTACATTACGTCTTCTCAGGTTGCCACACTTCCTTTAGTCACTATTTCCAATACCCCTTCTACTGTTATTCTTAATTATCATATCCAATTTCTGTCTATAAATACAACAAAATCTGTATTCAATTAGCATGAATTAGCATCTTTTAAGCAGCTCCTTTTTCTTTTTTTGAGGAAGATCAGCCCTGAGCTAACATCCATGCCAATCCTCCTCTTTTTGCTGAGGAAGACTGGCCCTGGACTAACATCTGTGCCTATCTTCCTCTTTATATGGACGCCGCCACAGCATGGCCTGACAAGCGGTGCATCGGTGCGCGCCTGGGATCCGAACCCGGGCCACCAGCAGCGGAGCGCGTGCACTCAACCACTACGCCACGGGGCCGGCCCCTAAGCAGCTCCTCTTTTTATTTTCAACTCCAGATCCAATAACATTTCTTTGGCTCTGACAGTGTCTCTAGAAATGTTACTTCAATTAAAAAAATTAAACATTTAAATCATGCTTCTGATAAATGATAAGACAGAATATTAAGTGGCTGTAATATTATAAGCTTCAGTCTATCTAAGAGGCAGCCTTGAAGATCAGTATCCATAAAAACGAAAGAAAAAAAAATTAGAGACTGGGCACAGCTTTTAAGCTAATGAGAACTTATTTATGTTACTCATATCATGGGAACCGAACAATGGTCACATGAGTTTTCGATCTTTACAAACATGCTTATAAAAAGTAAGGCCATCATAAATCCCAGTTTAGGAACCCTGTCCCAAATATTCAAAAATGTTTTCCTGGATTGAACCAAATCATCGGAGACGTGGGTGTCTGGACCTCACATTTTGGTGTCATTATAGAAATATCCTTACTGAAATGAGTTGAAGTCTTGGCCATCAGCTAACATTCAGGGCCATTACAAGATATACCCCTTTGTTTTATTTACTGAAAAGATAAGGCTTCTTCTCTATGAAAATGCAAAGAAGTTTCTTTCAGGCATCACTGCCAGAAAATGTTGTTCTCCACCATGACTAGCTTTTTATTTGACGGACACTGTAATTCCTGTAATTCACCACATTATCTTCTCTGTGTGGCCTGCCAGGTTTCTCAGAGCCGATTCATGGCCCAGGTGTACACGACATTTTGGGGTATTAACCTTATTTTGGGTATTAGTTTCACCCAGAAATCAAATTTTCTCATTTATTTTAAAAATATTGTACTGAACGCTTACGCTTTTTCATGAATTCTTTTTGGAACACGGTAGCGTAGAAATAAAACAATTACACAATTGTTGGAAAAAAATACGGCTACTAGGATTTCGACCCAAACTTGGCTAAAGTGCTTCCTATACCGTGGACCAGTGACTTTCCAACAATAAATTGCAAATCACTTGTAGATCATCTGACAAGGCAAGCCAAGATGTTCTAACTTTTGCCCCTACTGTTTAAGACAAGGTAGATGCATGGACAACTGTCTTCCAACTTCTCACCATCTCGAGAGACAGGTTCAGGGTTAGTTATAAAGGTTTTAGAGTTCTTTGGAACAAAACCCAGAAAAATAAACTTGCCACCTTAGACCTTTTTGCGAATTGGGTGAAAGTTGCAGACCCGGAAAAATGCACGTACCACAAACTTGCATTCAGTTTGGGGGGGAGTCCATAGATATCCTCCAAGTCCATTTATGAGCCTAAAGTTAAAAACTCCTTTCTAGAAAACGGCAAGCTTAGACACCAGCAACTAGAGCTCAGAGCCTAGGAGAAATCCTACACATTACATGATTTTCATGTAAAAGGTTCAAAGACGGGTGGGGGATTAGGAATAGTTCCTGCTCACATTACTTAGTAATAAAATATTCATACTGTGATAACCGCCTCAAAACATCCTGCTTTGCACATCTTCACTCCACATGATCACTCTGTATGTAAAGCACTAAGCCCTACCTCAGCCAACCTCCTTACTCTGATTTTTCCTCAGAGGACCGCCCTCCACCTAACATTAAATATGTCTCCACTGGCCACTAGAATGCAAGTTCCATGAGGGCAGGGACTTTGTTTTACTCAAGGCTGTACCTCTGGTGCATAAGAAGTGCTCAAATATTTTTTTAATAAATCTTCTATAGGATTCTCTATAGGTTTTCGTATATAAAGTTTTCCTGGAATTCAGTCATGCTCATTCATTTACCTATCATCTATGACTGCTTTCACGCTATAATGGCAGAGCTGAGGAGTTGCAAGCGAGTCCACACAGCCCACAAAGCCTCAAATATTTACTATCTGGCCCTTTACAGAAAAAGTTGCTGACCCTCAATAGCATTCATTTGGCCCTTATTTCTCAAGCTAGATTGGAAGCACCCTAGGTCCAGTAGTTAGGTCTTAATACTCCTTTGTACCTAGAACAGAGTAGATGCTTAAAAATAGCTATCATTACACAAATCCAGATTTCCTACTTCCAACATAAATTACTAACTTTGGATTTAACTGTGCAAAAATATTTTCCATCCTCAATACATTTCTAGCAAGCCCATAACCAAAGATTACCTGTGTTCAATAATTTGGGGGACAGGGAGAAGAGATACTGATGCCAAGTAGTAGCAAACTTTCTAGTTCAAACAATCATGTAATCGTTAAAATGTGAATGCAACATAACTGGAAAGCTCTTCTCTGTTTCAGACAAATGATTTTGAGGTGAACCATAGTGATTTTCTCAATGTCAAAATCATTCTAATAATGTATCATTTCTTTTTACACCAGGCACATTATGGGTGCTCAACAGTCACTGAATAGATCGCTCTCCCATAAATATTGTGCTCATCAATTTTTGTAAATTACAGTTATCTGAAAAGGGGAATCAAGATTTATATCCCTTTGCCAATTCTAAAATATGATCAGCATTTCTCAATCCTTTAAAAAATTATAGCCTTTATTGTAATTCTCTAAAAAAATTTAATGTGCATATGTATCATTGGTTCCGAGGCACTGAAGAGTAAAAGGATAATTCCAGGCATGATATCAGCCCACTGCTTACCTCAGGTGCAGAGGTGACCAAATAGGATTTTTTAATATTTTTGGGTGAGATATCACTTGAAAACATTGTAGCCCATGGACTAAAACAGAAACGAGAAGAAATGGCTAGGAACCTTATCGAATTATCTTTGCTAAGCTATTTTGAATAAGCAACAATATACACGATATACAATCATTTGAGAAAACTATTGTTTATTTAGAAAAAAGGTTACACTGGTAGAATTCAGTAGATTAAAAAATTTCTTTTAAAAATGTCACTGTGAAACTTTTCCAGACGAAAGTTCAGCAATACAAAACTCCTGTAGCTGTAGAATTAAAACACAATTAACCTTGATCCCCCGCCCCCCAGATTTGTCTAACATAATTACAAGAAAAAAATGGCAAGGGACAAGTGAGTGCTGGTACCTTTTTCTTTTTTAAACAGGTTTAATGTCATACACGTACTATATAAAATGATTCCTAAGCATTGCATAAGACACTGCTCCCACTTTGTTTTTAGTGACGTATTAAAAACAGACCAAATAATAAATTAAAACTGAGTTTTAAAATGAGGTAAATTCAAAATGGTTCAATAATTGTTTATTTTCAGTTTCAAACAATAAAAAGGAAGCATTTCAGATTGAAAAAAACAAACAAAAAACCCAACTAAACCCAGGCAATATTTAGTTAACCTAAAGTGAAATTCTGTACACATGTAACCTAATTTGCTTGTTGGGAACTGTATGCAGCACATTGTGCTAAAAATATGAACAGTTAACACTTTCAGCCATTTACTGAAAATAAACATGTAGAAACTAAGCAACAAGTTAAATACAGTAATGCACAACTCAACAATTTTAAGTTTTCGGCATGGAGCAATACAGCAGATAACTGAATAATTTAAGGAGATGCAAATGGGCCCTCTTCATTCACAATTCTCGGCAATCTACTCGGGAAAATAAATTTCTGGTCACAGCTGAACAAGTTCATTCCAATCTCACCTGCAAGAAACAAAGTGGTTATATTGCTAGATAAGAAAGAAAGAAAGGAAAGAAGGGGGGGTGGTAGGAAAGAAGGGAGAGGGGAAGAAGGGAGAGACAAGGGGGAGGGGAGGGAGAAGGAGAGGGAAGGAGAGAAGGAGGAGTAAAAGAGGAAGGAAGCAAGATTCAAGAAAGAGAGAAAAATCAATGAGTTCTGTCAATAACAAAGACCTGAAGTAAGTGCCTAAATAAGGATGAAATATTTGTGTACTTCTTATTTCCTACTCTTAGAAACCGTTAAAGATAGGCACACTACAATGCCTTAAAAAAAAAAAAAAAAACCATTGAGGGGCCAGCCCAGTGGCGTAGTGGTTAAGTTCGCATGCTCCGCTTCAGGGGCCCAGGGTTCACGGGTTCAGATCTTGGGCGCAGACCTATACACAGCTTATGAAGTCATGCTGTGGCAGCGTCCCATATAAAGTAGAGGAAGATGGGCATGGATGTTAGCCCAGGGCCAATCTTCCTCAGCAAAAAGAGGAGGATTGGCAACAGATGTTAGCTCAGGGCTATTCTTCCTCACCAAAAAAAAAAAAAACAAAACACTGAACATTTTGTCTGTGAGAGAGGGAGGGGTAGGGGGAGAGAAGGGAGGAAAAAATGAAATAGAAATAAAACATTCCACAGGGGCAAGCAACAGCTTTTCAAAAGTAAACAGAACACACAGCAATGAAAAGGAACTGATTTTACATGATCAACAAAAAGAGAAAAATGACATCACATTTTTCATAAGGACACGATTTTAATAGTGACTTATATTAAGATGCAATGTCTGCTAAATTATAAAAATTGCTTTAAAAATATATTGAATTAATTATACTCATTTCCTTTATGTATTGACATTTTTCAAATACTGCATATTGAAATAAATTCAAAACATGATCATTACAACATGTGGCAAATAACTTTGTATCTGCCTAACATTGTTCTCATTGAATTTTTAAACTAATGCTTAACGCATTAAACTTTATTGACGAAAATACTACATTCACATATTTCATAAAACCAGAGCTAGAAGGGCCTTAGAAAATCATCACACTTGCATGAAATGCTGACAAATAATTTACATATCATTTCTATACAGCATTCTGTTCACACCATGTATAATCTTGACATTACCAATTATAATTGTGGATACACTAATATTGAACTTACAATTTTAATACTTAAAAATCATTGTTCCTGTCCATCATTGATGAATGGATAAACAAAACGTGGTACACATTCAGACAACGGAATATTATTCAGTTATAAAAAGAAATGAAATTCTGATACATGCTACAACATGGATGAACCTTGAAAACATGATGCTAAGTGAAAGAAGCCAGACACAAAAGGCCACATACTGCATGATTTCATTTTTAAGAAATGTCCAAAACAGGCAAATCCATAGAGACAGAAAGTATATTAGTTATTTCCAGGGGCTGAGGAAGGGGAGAATTGGGAGTGACTGCTAACGGGTGTGGGGTCTCTTTTTGGGATGATGGAAATGTTCTGGAATTAGTGATGATGGTTACAACATAGTGAATATACTAAAAACCACTTTAAAAGGGCAAATTTTCTGTTATGTGAATTTTATCTCAATTTTTTAAATTGCAAAAAAGGTCAATGTTCCAATAAACAGTATCATGTTATCAGTATGGCCATACCTAGAATAAGAAATGGGTTCTCAATCATAAAGATGTCACAATAGGAGAATTAATGGGCAAGGAAAATTTCAATGACGTATTTAAGGGCACATTAAAGGATAAAACTGCTGTTGCTGTTAAAACATGTAAAGATGATCCTTCTCAGGAACTGAAATTAAAATTTTTACAAGAAGCCAAAATCCTCCAGCAATATAATCATCCCAATATTGTCAAACTTATAGGAGTTTGCACACAAATACAGCCTATCTACATCATTAAGGAACTGGTTCCAGGAGGCGATTTCCTCTCCTTTCTGAGAAAGAAGGATGAATTAAAACAGTTAGTGAAATTTTCATTAGACGCTGCTTCTGGATGGCGAATCTCGAGTAAAAATTGTATACACAGGGACCTTGCTGCAAGAAACTGCCTGGAGGTGAAAATAATGTTCTGAAAATCAGTGACTTTGGAATGTCTCGTCAAGAGGATGGTGGTGTGTATTCATCTTCTGACTTAAAGCAGATTCCCATTAAATGGACAGCACCAGAAGCTCTTAATTATGGGAGATATCGTTCTGACAGTGACGCATGGAGCTTTGGCATCCTCCTCTGGGAGACCTTCAGCTTAGGGGTCTGTCCATACCCTGGAATGACAAATCAGCAAGCACAAGAACAAGTGGAAAGAAGATACTGGATGTCAGTCTCTCAGCAGTGTCCAGAGTGTATTGATAAAATACTGCTGAAGTCTTGGGGTTACAAACTTGAAAACAGCCCCAAGTTCAGTGAACTTCAGAAAGAACTGCCATCAAGAAGAAAGTCACATAGTGATGAAACAGTGCCAAACTCAGCCTTCAGGACTCTATCTTCCAGCAGAGTAATATTTTCTTCTCATTAACAATGAGTTTATACCACATTACCTGGAACATTCTTCTAAGGTTATTTTTTATTAACTATTTTTTTAAAAATATGTGCCACTTTAACCATTGTAAATAAAAAAGCACAGGCTCTAAATGCAAGAGATCACACAGATCTATCTTTTTCACATCTAGGGCTGTTGATGTTTCTCAAAGAGTTTCTACTTCATGCTCAGTTAAGAGTCAGCTGTCCGCCATCCTAGATACCTCTACTCTATCGGTGCTATAAACTGCATTGGCAATACCATGTTTGCAGGACACAATCCAGAAAAGGCAGCCTTCCACTCTGCTAAGACAAGATTACATTTGTAAACATCACTTTCTATTGGGGATTATCTGGACATCCAGGGATTTTTTTTCTTTTTTCTGGCCAGAAATAGGCCCTGCTGTATTAGTAAGGTTGTCATTTCCCTATGTCCCACCATGCTCTCCTCCTTTGTCAGGGCATCAGAAAACTATGCTGAAATGCCCTCAAAGAGCACCTTCTCAGAGTTGAGGCAGCTGATTTTAAATGATGTTATTTTATAGAGAGCTGTGACAGCAAGAAGCAAGTTTGAAAAGTAGGGTGGTCTGGAGAAAAGAGCAGCTAGACTGGTGATCAAAGTAGAGAAGAGAGGCAAATATAAAATCAGCCTTCTTATCAGAGGTATGCCTTTATTAAAAACACATACACACTTTCTAATTTTATGATCAAATTCACTAAAAAGGTCCTAAGAAATGTTTCAATAGTTCATATATTCCTCATAAAAGAGGCTTCTCGATGGCAAGAAAATTTCTTCAGAGAAATTATAAAATACAGGCCCACGGACTTAGATTATTTTTGGTTCAGTGTCTTCACCTCAAAGCAGGCATCCCAGAATCTAGCTCCCTACCAGTGCCTGAGCGATCAGAACTTTACGATCCCAGCTCACACACACACCACTCCCACAAGAAAGGCATATATGGATGAAGTTGACAGTTAAAAAGTCAAACGAACATTTATGAAGAAGTTACAGGAGAAAGACATAGGGACAGCCATCCTAATTCCACTTTACTCCTTCATTTACCCTTATTCTGTTACCTAGGAATTCTTATCACAGCCAACACAATTCCTGAGATGTTCCATGTGGATAAAATGTAACACGGAGGTAAAACTGGGATTCTGTTGAACTGAATCTTAGCCTACCCAGGAGAGTCTCTCAGGATAAATGTGTATGTAGGGGATAGTGACACTCAGGGGTAAATGTAGCATGGGAGCCTTTTGTAAGTGCTCATGCCTGTGTCCAAATAAAAAAACAGCACAGCACCTTAGTGAATATTTGGTCTACCTCAAGTGGAAGCAAGAAAAGTCCTCCTGTTCTCTCCAACTGTTTGGTGCCTATGAATATCAGTGCACAGAACTCACACCCAGTACTTAAAGAGTATAAAGGATGATAATGAAGAGAAAAATATTTTGTGTCTATCATTTCAATCTCCTAACAAAACTTTCATACACATTTAATGATTACTACGTTCAGAACCAAATGAAAGCATTAAAAACCTGCCCTCAAAAATTATGTTGCAGCACACAAAGCAACTTCTTCTTAAACAGTAAGTATACTACCAAATGCTGTAAATAAACTGAACCTTCTTTTGAGGGCAAAAAAGTCAATGCTGTTTCTCATCAGTCCCAAAGAGATATACTTAATACTTCTGTACAAAGCTCTCCATGTAAAGTTAACAAAGTATCTGAAACACAGCAGGTAACAAAGAAAAATACTTGGTTGTTTGATTAGGAAAAAGAGATGAAGTTACTGCCTTCAACAAGATCACAATCTAAGGAGACGGATATGTAACATACTCATATATGCATAGGAATCAGTGACTACTGGGACTCTGTAGGCAAGGTGAACTGCACACATGTAAGCAATGGGAAACTAATGAGAAAGAAACTTAACTGAACACTCCCTACTCCAACACATATTACCAGTATCTAGGACTACGCCTCCCATGGCAACACATTCCTAAAATAAGCAATCTTTGAGCACTTAGGAGGTCAGTTTCCAAATATGGACTCAAGAAAAAAGACTCAGAACAGGAATTACAAAATCAATTGTTTACAGTACATAACGGAAACAAATGAAGTGAGTTGGGTAGGACTGACTGAGGTAAACTATAAGATCCACTCTCTATATAAGCGGGGCAGCACCTAGGCAGGTCTAGCTGATTGTTGCCATGCAAAAATCAGGACACAACGTTGCCAGATGTTCCAATTCTTCAAGAGAAACTGAAATTTGGATTTTGTCAACTCTTCTGATTTTTAAAGGCAACCAATTAAAAAAATGTTAAATATTGTGTGAGGCCAAGAAGGTATATCTAACAAGCCACATTCTGCCCAAGGGCTGAGAATATGCAACCTTGGTTTTAAAGGATAAAAGAGTTAAGTTACATGTATGAGACTGGAGGTGAGAGACAGACCTGCAAAATATATTAGGCCTCACTGGAGTGGAGGATTAGAATAGGAATGTAGTATACTGCAAATATATATGGATAGAATAGAGCTAACTGCTAATGCTCTTTGAAATCAAGAATGAAAAATCAAAGTCCAAAAAGATTGAACTTCTCAAAAGTGTGGGAGCACGTCTCAGTTTAGCACAGCATCTGGTTCACCAAAGGACTTTCAAAAGTTAGCTGAGCTCAATATTCATGAATTGAGGACCACATATATCAAACTAAAATTGAGAAGCTAAGGGATGGTTTTAAGAGGAAAATTTTAATAGGCAGGAATTTTTAAAGATTAAACTAAGGGAAAAGGTTAAAGGCAAAGCAGCTAGTAGAGTTCAAGAGGCTATATCAAGGAGAGACAAGATGAATTTGGACAAAGACTTGAACAATAACAAGCAACAGAAGATACAACAAGCAGAAAGGATTTTGCAACTAAAAGTGATGATATAGGAAAAGAAGACAGAAGACTTTGGAAGGAATTTAATCTGGGTCACATTTATATATTGCATTTTCTTAACTCTAAAGTGATTATTTTAATGTTTCTGAAATCAGGGTTATACTTGCAAATCAATGTCATTTCCCTATCCACCCTTCTCAAAAAACAGTTCTAGAAACCAACAATGAATCTACAATTAATGAGATCTTTGAACCAGGGAAATGTGACATATGTAGCAGCTCTCCTTTCTGTTGAATGTAAAGTAAATAAAAATGGGAGCAGGGCACAGCAGATTTGAAGTAGCCTAAAGGTAAATGGTGCCAATCAGAAGGAAAAGGAAGAACAGAAAGACTTGAGCAACCCTAGAAGGTATCCAAAAGAAGGAGCCAGCCAGAACAGCAAGAAAAAGGAAAAATCAACCAGAGCCTCATAAAATGGAGTCTACCCAAGAAGAAAAGTATAGTACATAGTTGTCAACAAGAAATTGAACAGGATGAACATCAAATTAAATGTATCTTAAAAGGATATCTGAATTGAGAAGCTTTGCCACAAAACCACCAGCTTAACATCTAACTCCCAGGCCAGTCTTTTCATGCCTTTGGTCCTGAGAGATTAAACAGAGAGGTAAAGTACAAATCCATGGCCTGTGTGAATAAGAACTCAAAAAATCTGTAACATAACCCTCACATACCAAAGAATACTATTTAGGTACTAAGTAAAGAGAGATGTATAAAATCACAGTGAAAGTTGTCAGTGTTGATGGTTGGCCCATTCCTAATGAAGATATAAGAGTTAAGTTGTTTTTGCTTTCTTTAATAAGGAGACCATGTGAAAGCAAGAAGTAAAAAGCAAAATGCCAAACTAAAAGAGGGTTAAGGTGAAGAATTAAAAAAAGAAGAAAGATTAATAGTTTATAGTTCACAAGGGAAGACAGCTAGTTGTTGGGGGCAGGAGATGGCTAGAACTGAAGAATGGACAATAATATTTCTTTTATAATCTTTCTAATTTAAAAAAAAATTACTAAATTCTAAATGCTTTCTCATTTACCTTACTCTACTACTTAGATAGCAAGCACGGAATAACAAAGCGGAAAAAGCATACCACTTGTCAGGAAGTTACCTATCTGGCAACCTCAGATCTCTGCTTTGCAGCCAAGATAAATATGACAAAATCCATACCCTAAAGCTCATACCCTTACACAGAACAAGCTCTCAGATATTTCTCACTCTTAATTTAAACAACTGTAAACAGCCTTGGTTATCTATCTAGTTTCATAAAAGATTAGAAGCAGCAAATAATATTAGGAGAAGGGTACAGACAGCAAGTATACTTGATATCATTAAGTGACAGCTAATATGGAAGCAAGAAAATGGGCTATAAAAAAGAGTCAACAACTTCAAATACAGTCATCTTGAATCATTAAATGTAGAGGGCAAATCCTCCTATATACTTCAATAATCCTAAAGTATCACTAAACAATAACTATTCAGATGATGATATGAGTGCTCAAAAAAGACTATATTAGGTTCTGAACACTCTGTCCACTAAGTCAGAGTGGACTATTGTCCACATACAATTTATTTAGGATGGTTAAAACACTTTTTAAATCTCACATAAGGTATAACTACCTTGAAAACAAAGTTGGATATCTTAAATTCCAGAACTAAAAGCACACACCATATTTTTTGGCTTCACAAAACATGGGCAGTGGCAGAAAAAGAGGCACAAAAACCTAAAACAAATATCTCTGGATAACATGTCTGCGCAAAAAGACAAACAGAGAATACTAAAGGGCAAGAAGACCTATGTTTGAGTATTGGCTCTGTCAGCTAATATCTCTGTCACCCTCTTTAACTTAACCTCTCCGAGTCTCAGTTTCTTCACCTGTAAAATGCAGATACCATCACCACCTACAAGGCTATAGGTATCTAAAAAGGGTAATTAATTATCCAGAGAAGATGGGAATGAGTGGTGAAGAGAATGCCACATGTTCTTAAATACATCTTTGTGCTAAAAAAAAAGAGTGCGCCTAATCAGCAAGCTTAAAACAAAAACAGCTTAAAAATAACTGTGGATCTTGTTTTGCATCTATACCCAAAGACCCGGTCATTATATTTAGGTGAAAAATTCTAAACTGTAACTTACCAAATGGATCTAGTTTCTTCAACATTATCAGACCCCATTTTACTTTTATATCTTTAAATGAAAAGGAGGGGAGAGAATACTCACCTTGATTGAAAGTCTTCATTATCTATGCTTGTCCGAGGACTTATGAGTAGATGACAAATTAAGGAAAAACAACTTCAGGAAAAAAAAGAATGGGGTCTCACCTTTTAGTACAATCTCTCAGCTTGCAGGCCTAATTGGCTCTGACCAGCCTGGTAGCCTCAAACTCTACCAACTCTGCTCATTGGCAGCATCATCTTGCCCTTCTATTCCCCCACGCCCCCATCCCAAGGGACTCTCTGTTCTCTTTCTTCCTCTAGGTGGTAATACAGCCAGAGGGATTCTAAATCCTTTGGTGGCATAAAACCACCTCAGTCACCATGGAAGTGTAAAAAAAAAAAAATCAAGTCTCCCACTTCCATATTTTGTACATTTGAGAGGATTAACTGGAGAGACCATTTAAAAATGAATAAGCACTTAGACCACATACTATATGAGTACAATTCTAAACATGACCAGTATCAAAGCTTTCCATTACACTGATTATCAATAAGATGAAAAGGATATTGTTTCTTCTCTTCCTTTCCTCCTGAACTGTCCCGTTTCTCTTTCTTTTCTATCTTTTCTTTATCATGCCTGGACTCCTGTAAGAAATGATGGAATTAGTTGGGGAAGGGAAAACCAAATATAAAAATCAGCTCAAAATCCCTTTTCATCACCCACCAGTCATAAATTTCTCTTCAAAAACTTAGGTAATATGATACCAAAAGAACAAGCAACAAAAGAAAAAAAACAGACTTCATCAAAAGTAAAAACTTTCATGCATCAAAGAACACTATCAAGAAAGTGAAAAGACAACATACAGAATGGGAGAAAATATTTGCAAATCATATATCTCTTAAGGGTCTAGTATCCAGACTATATAAAGAATCCTTACAACTGAGCAACAAAAAGACAAACGATCCAACTAAAAAATGGCCAAAGCATCTGAATAGATTTCTCCAAAGAAGATATACAAATGGCCAACAAGCACATGAAAAGATGCTCAATATCATTTGTCATTAAGGAAATGCAAAATCAAAACCACAATGAGGTACCACTTCACACCCACTAGGATGACTATTATAAACAAAACAAAAGAAAAAAACAGAAAACAACAAGTGTTGGCAAGGATGTAGAGAAATTGGCACCCTCATACATTGCTGGTAGAAATGTAAACTGTGCAGCCACTGTGGAAAACCGTTTGGCAGTTCCTCAAAAAGTTAAACATAGCATTACAATATAACCCAGAAATTCCACTCCTGGGTATACACACAAAAGAACTGAAAACAGGTATTCAAACAAATACTTCATAGCAGCACACAAATATTCATAGCAGCACTATTCACAATAGCCAAAAGGTGGAAAACAACACAAAAGTCCATCAACTAATGAACGTATAAACAAATACGGTATATTCATACAATGGAATATTATTCAGCCATAAAAAGAAATGAAGTACTGACACATGTCACTACACCATGGAAGAATCTCAAAAACATTATGCTAAGTGAAAGAAGTCAGACACAAAAGGCCACATTATTATATGATTCCACTTATACGAAATGTCCAAAATTGGTAAATCCATAGAGACAGAAAGCAGATTAGTGTTTGCCAGGGGCTAAAGGGAGGGAGAAATGGGAAATGGGGAATGACTGCTTAACGGGTATGGGGTTGCCCTTTGGGGTAATGAAAATGTTTTGGAACTAGATAGAGATGATGATTGTTAAAATTAACAATTAATAAAGACTTTATGACAGTGTAATGATCAGGGAGAATACATGTGACTCTACTTTAATCTCATGAATGAAGAGAAACTAAAAGCATCGTTGGTGGGGAAAAAAGAAAACACAAAATGAGAGGCTGAAACTCAATGAACAGAAGTGGGCGGGAGTGGAATGGAGAGGAAAGGAATTTCAGGGGTAAACTAATTCTACCCTCCCAATACTCTGGGAGTGAACTGGCTCGAATTCCCCAGGTAACCTGCCCTCTCCCAATGCCTCACTTTTCCCACCCCCAAATAATTAACAAAAGACTATTTGACTACAAATATTTGCTAAATTTTCAAAGGGTTGATTTTTCTAAGAAAAAAGCATATTGTTCTTTTGTTTTCCTAATTTACCTTTTTGCCACCGGAGGAGATTTTATCCATCTTTTCAGATTTAAACGAATCACCGCCTTTTTCCTTGCCTGAAGATTTTGATTTATTTTTTTCCTTGTCTTTCTCATTTGGATAAGGAGACTCACATGGACTTTCACTTTTGTGTTTTGAAACCCCCACTAAAATTATAAAAGAGAATTATAAAATCCTTTTCCAATTCAGTTTGACGATTGCTTGGAAAGTATTAATAAGTCTACCTACTTGTTCCATTTTCCTCTTTTCGCCTCTTGGTTAAGTCCGGTGGCACTTCACGGTCACTGTTTGAGTGATCCTAGAACCAAGAATTGTGAACTACAATGATCAAGAGTTTATGTTTTTTGTTTTCAAGTATTACTTTTATACAAGAAGGGCACAGCTAACTAGCACTGGAGAATATCTGCAGTAGTTTCACATAGTTGGTAAAATGACATGAAAAGGTTAACAGAGCTGGTAGAGATTATTAGGCTGAAGATCCTTATTACTGTAGAAGATTCAAAGACACTTTAGGGTGAAAATACCAGTTAAAACACTACATAACAGACTGCCATGCAACAAACTAGTACTTTATAAAAGGCAACAAACACACTACTGTACACAGTAATGAGCTTTCCAAATTAGTTTTAAAAAAATTACAAACCCTTTTTCGCTCTTTCCTGTCCTTCTCATCTTTTTTCTCTCTTT